TTACACAATTACTCCCCTGTCCCCAATTCCTGCAAGTCCACAAGGGGCAAGCTGCCATTTGGGATTATTTAATAGCGCATCGGGAGCATCAGGCACCACAGGTGCTCTGCCAGTCTGAGGATTCCCGCCCCCCTAAGCATGAAGTGGTGCTGCAGGATTATCATGGGCTTGGGGCTGACCCCTCACATGGAAGGACTCTGATGTTCTTCACGACCTTGAGCCTTCTTTTCTCCAGTATGTAAAGGTCCTTGACTCAGACCTACTTCAGAGCAGGGTGAAGTGTCTTGCTGGGTAACAGGTTCTATTCCAGGAACTTGAGGGTGGCCTTGGGAAAGGCAGATGTTTCTATTTGCCATTGGCACGCTGTTCTGAGGGATAAGACTAGAACTGTGTCTCGGAGTGGATGGAAATGCTGGTCCCTGTAGCTTAGGGGTGTGGTATTGTGGAGGCTGGTATTGGGACTGACCAGAACGATGGGTCCTGTGTCTCCAGGGCTGATGGGAAGGACGGATCCTGAGTCTCAGGGATTTGTGGGAACTGGAAGCAGTGGTTCCTGTAACTCACTAACCAATGAGATGGAGGCCTTATGTTTCAGGACTAACGGTGTTACGTACTCTCCCAGAGGCTTAAGCAAGTCCCAGCCTAACCCACAGGCCATCCTTTATTCATCCATCCCTCCTTCCGTTCGCTTGGCAAACATTCTCCTAAACCCTTTTAGCTACACTCTTTGCTGGGTGATCCTGAGAACACAGCGATGACTCAGACCTAGATCACGCCCTCAGTGAATTCCCAGGAACAGACCTAGACACCAAGAATCACAACAGGAGAGGATGAGACCAGGACGAGGAGACAGGTGGTGGAGTTACAGTCCTGACCCAACTACCGGGCATCTGGGTGAAGGCAGAGTGGCAGCAATTCTGAACCAAGTCAAGGAGCTGGGCTGACAAACTCCTTTTTATCCATGCAAATTTGTGTGCAAGTCAAGTTAAATGTGTCCCCAATATCAATCCCATGTTAAGCTGCACATTTTCACAGCTTAGAGCCAGAGAGACCTGGGTTCAAATCCTACCTCTGCCATGCACGTTGTGAACTTGGTCAACTCACTATTTAGAATGTCATTTCCTCCACCCTTACACGTAAATAAAAGTTCCTAATAATACTGCTGTGATGATTGAATGATATAATGTATAACATATACCCAGCCCAGGGCCTGTTACCAATAGACACTGCATAAAGGGTATGTATTGCCATTTTTGTTATTCTTAGCATTAGTAATTAATAACAAATTTTGAAAGACCTAGGAGTGAGTGTTCATCAAATATCTGGGTTCAGAAGCTTAAAAGCATTGGAAGGAATCAGTTTAAAAAAGCAGTATTTGCATATGTAAGTATTAGTTTATGTTTAAAAAAATCTCCCAATTGATTGAATAAGTATGGATAAATAAATTTTTCCAATGGAATATTATACCACCACTAAAACGAAAGAGGTAGCTCTGTGAGCATGGATATAGGAGAATCTTCAGGAAACAATGTTAAAAAAAGCAAAGTGTAGAATAATGTGGTCCCAAGTGGGGACAAAAAAAGAATGGGGCTGTAATATATCTGCACAAATGTACAGAATTCCTCTGGAAAGATACACAAGAAACTGGTAAGCACAAGCCGTCCCCAGACACAACTGGGTGGCTGGGGTTGGGGTGGGAGGGAACAGCATTATTCACTGTTGGAGCCCCAGAAGGATACCCACCATTGTCTGAATGTTGCCCCTAAATGTGCCCTGGCCCCTGATGTACACTAAGTTCCAAGCGGGGCACAGCATCTCCTTTACCCCATTCTTCCTCCCGGTTCCCCACTGGGAACCCCTGTCCCCGCAATTCCTGGGTCAGAGTCCTGGTGGTCTATCTTCTTCACCTCCTCCCGCCCCGTCGTCCCCCACCAGAGCCTGTCAGTCCCAGTCCCCTGCCCCGCCCCAGTCCCCAGGGTCCCAGTCCCAGCCCCAGCTCTGGCATCCTGCTCCCCAGCCTCTCGGCCCCTCGGTCCATCCCCCACAGGGCCCCAGAGGGGTCTGCCTGGCGCCCAGGTCCGAGCCTGTCCCTCCCCTGGCTCTCAGCCCTCGGCGGCTCCTGGTCACCCTGGGAGAAAGTTCCCAGCCAGGCCTGCACCCCGGAGCCGGGCCCCGCACCCCGGAGCCGGGCCCCACCCACCGCCGCGGGGCCGCGGGGCTGGACGCCCGAGTCTCCACGGCTCCCGGGCCTGCCGGCTCCGCTCTCCCCCCGGGATCGCCCGGCCTCCAGCCTCTGGACCTCGCCGGAGCTCGCGTCCGGCTGCCTGCTCCTCGGCGGTTCCGAGCTGACCTCCCGGGCCCTCGGAGGTCAGGCCGCAGCCGCCGCCTTCTCGGGGTCCCCGCGGCGCGGGCCTCTCCCGGGTCACACCTCGTCGGCCCGGGTCGGCCCCCGTCAGCCCGGATTGGGACCGTCTGCGCGGGAGCGGCCTCCTCCGTCGGACTGTAAGCTCGGTCTGCAAGGGCAGATCTGGGTCTCAGTCACCTTTGGGGGCCCCCGGGGCGGGGCGGGGCGGAGGGCGGGGCTGGGGCGCTGAGCGGGGGATCCGGGAGCGGACCCCAGGGGGCGTGCGGGACGTGGGGAGCCCGGGGCCGCGGGCAAGTGCGCGGCCCGGCGGGCGGGGAGGAGCAGGCGGGACGGCGGCGGGCGCGCGGGGCGCGGAGCCGGCACCCCGGCCGCCGGGGAGGCGGAGGGAGAGAGGGGGCGCGGAGTGCAGCGCCGCGGCCCGCCGCCTCCCGGCCCCTTTTGTCCCTTCCCTCCTCCCTGCGTCACGCTCCCGGCCGGCCTCCCCGCCCCGCGCCTCCTCCCCGGGGCTGGATGGAATTTTTTCCCCTGGACCGGGGCCAGCGCCGGGGCAGGGGGAGGCCGGCGGCCGGCGGGCGCGGGGAGGGGCCGGCGGGGTCCCGGCGGGGAGCCGGCGGGGTCGGCGGGGAGCGGAGGGGCGGCGGGAACGCCGGGAGGAAGGGGAGAGGCCGCGGGGCGGCGGAGGCGGGGAGAGGATGGAGAGCGGGCGGCGGCGGCGGCCGGGCCGGCCGGGGGCTGCCGGGGACCCCGTCCCTGCGACGCGGGAGCAGCGGAGCCGTGAGTCTGTGGGAGGGCGGCGGCCGGCGGGTCCGGGGCTCCGAGGGAGCAGGCGGCTGGGCCTGGATTACTGGGTCCTTGCGGGGGGTGCCTGGGACCCAGACTCCCTCCCGAATCCTTGGGGGAGGCGCCGGGATTCCGGGGTGCAGAGGGGGAGGGGTCCGGGAACACCCCTGGTCCCAGCGCGAGGGGAGGGCTGGGCTGGGGTAGCTCGGGGCGGGGGCGGGAGCGGGGGCGGGGGGCCGCGGCCGGAGGCCCGCCCCAGTCCTCAGGGGAGGCGGAGGGAGAGGCTGGCTCCGGAGGCGCCTCTGGCAGCGGAAGGGTTAACGTCTGGCTGGCGGGGAGGGGGAGGGGCTGGGAAGGGGCTGCGGGGCTTTTCGGGGTCAAGGGTGAGCCGTGCTGGTGGGAGGGGGCCGCGAGGACGGGGGAAGGTGTCTGGGCTGCCAGACAGGCCAGGGTCAGCGGCGGGGGCAGCGGCTGTCTGGCGCAGGAGAGGCCCGGCATCCAGGCTCCCTTGGGGACCTGGGATTCCGGGCCCCAGGCCCCAGCCCCCTCCTCCCTTAGACCTGGGAGTCCGCAACCCAGCCCCCTCCCTCGAAATTCCAGAATCCGAACCCCTAGGCCCCTGCACCCCAGGACCTGGGCCTCTGGGCCTCCAGCCCCGCCTTCCCTTAGACAGGGGAGGCCACACGGCAGCCCCTCCCTCCCCGGAGCCCCAGAATTCGGGCCCCCAGCCCCTTCCCCCCTGGAACCCAGGCGTCCCCACCTCCTCTTCGGCCCCAGCTGGAGTCCAGCCCTCCGGGAGTTAAGGGGGCGGGGCCGTGGTTGCCATAGTGCCAGACTGTTTGGGTCTGCTCTCTGACCCCTGGGGGCTCCCCAGGGTCTGCCGAGAGGGGGAGGGGGACCCGGACCTGAGGGAAGTCCAGCACCAACCCCTTCCCCAAAACGGGCCTACGGACCCAGGGACTTGGCGTGTCCACCAGCGCCTTGTCCAGTGACCTTGAACAAGGCCGAGACCCTTCCCCCCGGGTCTCAGTTTCCCCCAGGGGAAATTCGTTGCGGGAGCAGAGAGATGCTCTGGTCCCGCAGATCTTTAGGATTCTCCGCTTCCCCTGTCCCCCCACCCCCTCCCCAGGCCCCAGGCAGCCCCGGGGCATGCTGGGAACCCGGCCTGGGCTCGGGGCCAGGCTGTTGGGGGGGCGGGGGCCGCCTCCCTTCCCCTTCCTCCCCACCTTTGCCTGACTCTCGCCCCCGCCGGAGGGTCCGGGAGCTGGGGAAGGAGGGGAGGGGGCTGAGAGCCGCGGCCGTGGTCCCGTCTCCGGGCCCCCACCTTCCCCCTTCCGCCCCCGCCCCCTTCCCGCCCCTCCACCCCCCTCGGCAGGTCGCTACCCCAGCCCTGGGCCCCTTCTCCAACCACCCCCAGCGCCAGACCTGGCCCAGGGCCGCCAGGAGGAGGGAGGGAGGGAAGGAGAAAGGGGGAGAGGCAGGGGTACGGGCAGAAGGGCGGGGGGTGGCGGGGAAGGGGTGCCAGCGCCCTAGAAGGGAGAGAAGAAGATGTAGAGAAGGGGGAGAGGAGGGAAGGAGGGAGGCAGAAACTGCGGGAGGAAGAGACAGAGAACGGGAGAGACAAAGAGACGGAAGGAGGCGGAGAAGGGGCGGCGGGGAGGCAGAAGGTAAAGCCGAAGAAGGAGCGGAGAGGAGAGGAGGGGACGAGGCCGGCTGGGGGCGCTGGAGGGAGGGAGGCAGGAGGGAGAGGCGCGGGCAGGGCCGAGGGCTGCTCGGCTGCGGGGGGATGTGGAGGCCAGGTAGGGGCCGGCCGGGCGGGTCAGCCCACGGCAGCACCGCGGGAGGACCAGGAAGGCGGAGATGGGGTGTGGGGCGGCATGTGCAGGACAGACAGCTGGACGGAGGGGAGGCCCAGGCACGGACTCTTGGTCCAGGGCTGGGCAGGGTGGGTGCCGGGCCCTCCCACTTACCGGCTGGCCTTGGCCGGGTCTCTTGCCCTCTTGGGGAGCTCAGTCTTCTCACCTGCAGAATGGGGGTGTTGTTAGCTTCTCGCTGCCCTGCGTGGGAGATGTCGGAGGCCTGGGGTGTTGCTGGTGCTCGTGGATGACAGCTATCCCGTGATGGATGCTGGCGGTCCGAGAGAAGGGCAGGAAGGGGCGACAATACCTAGACCTCTGCTGTGTCTGCACAGCTCCTGGCTTCCTGAACCTGACAGGTAGGCAGGGAAGCCAGTGGCTCAGGGGGGGCCAAGCTCCTGAACCCAGGAAGCCAGGAAGGCTGGGCCTTTCCCAGGGACGCAGGCTTGGCTGGACTCCCAGATCTGAGGGAGGAGGGGGCTCAGGGCCTGGACTCCAGGGACTTTGGTGAGGAAGGGGCCAGGAGCCTGAACTCCTGGGTCCCTGGTGAGCGAGGGGCCGAAGGGCTGATTCCTGGGTTCCTGGGGGGGGAGGGGCCGGGGGCCCGGATTCCTGGGTCCTGGCACCCACCCGTAGAACCGACCTTGCGGGGCCTTCGCCGCACACAAGCTCGTGTCTGTGGGTCCGTGTCGGGGGCTCACCATCGCGGCTGGGGCTGCCCCGGCCCTCCCTGGCCCTCCTGGCCCCCATGTGTCCGTCCATCGGTCTGTCTGTCCGCCTGCCGCGCCCCCCGGGCTGAGGTAGGAGGTTGTATAGTTGAGGAGGACACCCACGGAGATCACTATACGGCCTCCTAGCTTTCCCCAGGCTGCGCCCTGCACGGGATGGCCCGGCGGGGACCCTGGCCCCTGACCGCCGCCCTGCCCCGCTGGGCTCAGGGGGCTGCTGCAGGGGCCCTGGGAGGAGGAGCTGGCTGTCTCTCCTGTCTTGTCCCTGCGTTTCCGCCCTCCCCCTTTCCTCAGAGTTTCTCTCCCATCAAGAAATCTGTTTTGCTTTCTGCCTGTCAGTCTCTCATCTCGGTGTCTCTGCACCGTGGGCTCTCAGGCCTTCCGGTCTCTGTATGTTCTCTGTTTCTCTGCACATCTGTTTCTGCCTCTCGGGCACTCACAGCGGCGCTGTGCCTGCCCATCCCTGACCCAGCCCCTCACCACATTCCAGCGCTGGGCCCCCATGCACCACACTGCCAGCCTCTGGGTCCCTGAGACCCTTTAACCTGTGAGGATGTCCAGGGTCACAGGTGAGGTTCTTGGGAGCCTGGCGTCCGGCACAATCACAGGTCTGGGGATTGCCCGCCTGACCCCTAACCTCTGACCCATCAAACCCCTCCTGCCTGAAAACACAGAACCTGACATTTGATCAGCAACTAAAATCCAACCTCTGGCCCCATACCACACGCCCCTCCCCCATCCCATGTGACCTCACAAAGGTCACCAGTTCTCCCTGGGCTGAGACCCTCTGCTATGGCTGGGCTCCCCTCGCTGACCACTGTCCCATTGGCCCTGGTGGCCCTCTTGATATTCAGGGCCCCCGCCTGGGCCTGTCTTTTCTGCTTCACATCCCACGAGGAGCGTCTCCGCATCTGCCAGATCTTCACCGGCATGGAGGGCCCCGAGCTGGAGACGTGCGAGAAAGAGTTCACCGCAGCCTTCGAGGGCCTCAAGGACGTCCAGATCAGTGAGGAGCCCCCGCCACGTCCTCCGGGGCTTGGGAGTTAGGTGGGGAGGGGCCAGAAGGCCTGGAGAGAGACATGCAGAGAGGCAGACGGATAGTGAGAAGCATCCTCAGAGGAGGATGGAGATGGGGGGAGACAGACTTGAGAGGAATAGTGAGTTGTTGGGGGAGCAGTCTGAGAGAGAGACAGACAGTGTCTTAGATGTCCCAGATTTTGTCCACACCGGGGATGTGGTGCTGGATGGACGTGCGTCCCCCAAGCCCCATCCTCATCCCCAGACTACAGTGAGAGAGGCCACTTGCATGACGTGTTCACCCAGATGACCCACTCGCTCCAGGAGCTGGCCGCCGCCCAGGGTAAGTGCAGTGGAGACGGTGGTGATGGGAGGCGTGGGCTCGGTGCCCCTAGGAGATGGATGTGTGTGCAGACAGGGTCACCTGCAGGTGTCAGCGATCCGGAGGAGGTGGTGCCAGGCAGCCGCGCGAGCTTGGTGGGTGTTGGGGAGAAGGGGTGGACAAGTACTGGCAGGGAGGGGAAGGCATGGTGTAGACATGACAAGAGTCTGAAACCCCCCCGGGATCAGGTAAACGTGAGTTATGACCTGGCTGTGTGGCACATCCTCTTCCTGGCTGTGGGGTTCTGCTCATGTCACTGTCTCCTCCTGGGCCTCAACCTACCCACCTTAAGGTGGAACAACTTCCTTGTTTCCCAGGAGGGCTGTGGAATGGAGCCAGAGGGAGGGGTGCTGATGAAACAGATCCCCAGGAGGAGGTCTTCCGGGATAAACGCTATTCCTTATGGTTAACACTGTGTCTGTACTTGTGCGGGGCATTTGGGGACCGGAAAATAGGTAGGAACAGGGAAAGGATCATCCCAGTCACCCTGAGGAGAGACAGGCCCATGTGACAGCCTTGGAGAAACACCGCATGTGGTCATGTGGAGGGGCCTGAGGACGGTGGGGAGGGCGGTGGGGAACACCGGGAGCCGAGGGGCAGTGTTAGCAGGAATCACACCGGGTGCCCATGATCCCAGGACACAGGATCCCTTCAGTGTACCCAGACAGAATGGTGGCAGGCGCCAGGGGGCCACCTCCGAGGTTTGGGGCCCAGGGCTGCTTTCTGCCTCTGTGGTTACACCTTTTGTTTCTTGCTCCTGCCCACCGAGCTTTTTAGCAAAGCTCCCCAGAGGTGAGGAGGTTCCCATCCATCCAGGTGGGTTGGTCTGAGGGGCCAGCATGGAGATGGCTTCAGCTGCGGGTCCCCCACCTCCAAAGAGAGGCCTGAGGCAGTGAACCAGCAGGGCACTCAGAGCTCCAGGAAATACCCTTTCTCCCCACAGAGGCCCCGAAGGTTTGCAAAGGGCAGGAACCAGTCCGGCTCTGGCGTAGAAGACCCCTTGAAAGCTGTGTGCGGGAGGGACTGGAGGCTAGGAGGCCTGGGTGGAGGCTGCGATGGTGGAGAAGAGGGGATGGGGCGGGAGGGTGGGGGCTTGGGTCTGATGGGTTGTTCAGGGAGGCTTAGAGGACAGTGCCCAGAGTCCAGCCCCATGCTGGGTGGGCAGTCCGCCATCCTGAGATGGGAGCCAGGAGAAAGAGCATCTGGGGGCAGATGCCGCGCTGGGCCAGGTTGTAGTGACTACGAGGGACCCCAGGGTGCATCCAGGGTGCAGCGAGATAGCAGGTCCAGGATTCAACTGAAAGATCAGGGAGACTTGGGAGTCAGTCCTGAAGGAGCAGGCGGCAGGGAAGGGCAGGGTCAGCTCCGGGTGTAGGGAGGTCCTTGGGGGTCGTGTAGAGGATGACCCGGAGGCCAGGAGAAGCTGGTGCAACACGTGCAACAGATATCTACTGAACGTATACGAAACAGCAGTGGGACGCAGCTGTGATCAAAACTGCAGACCACCAGCCCTCGGGTTCCTTACAGGGCAGTGGGGGGGCGGACAGAGACAGCAAACATCAGCAATCAGTAATCATCAGTGACGTACTATCGCATGTCAGCTGTGGGGGTGTGCTGTGGGGGAAAATAGAGAAGCGGAGGGAATGGGGTGGCCCATGGGGCAATTATTTTAAATAAGTTGACCAGGGAAGGTACAAATAGGAAGGTCCAGCTCAGCAAAGACTTGAAGAAGAAGACAGCCACGCAGATAATCTGGGACAGAGCGCTCCAGGCAGAGGAAGGAGCCAGTGCAAAGGCCGTGGGGCCAGTGGGGCTCCAGTGGAGTCACGGCGGGAGAAAGCAAGGAGACGAAATCAGAGGGGCGGCAAGGGGCCACGCGACCTGTGAGACCCTGCAGGCCTGGGTTCTCGAGCCCCAGTGTTACGGCAGCATCTCCTGGCACCTTGTCAAAATGCAGATTCCTGGGCCCCACCCTCGTCTGACCCGGAGGTCTGAGGAAGGGCCTGGACATGGACTTTCTCAGGTCACGCTGCTGCTCTGGGAATACATTTTGAGGACCCCTGTTGTGGGCCTTTGGACTCACTTTAGCTTTTGCTCTTGAGATGAGGGACCCATTAGAGCATTTTAGGAAGAGAGAGGAGGAGGGAGGATGTGACTGCGGCCATGTGGGTCAAGGGCAGACCAGGAGACCAGAGAAGGTGGCTGCTGCTGGTTCCATGCTCAGGGGTCCAGGTGGGCCGAGATGAGGTGGGAGGAGGGGAGGGTACAGGAGAAGGAAGATCAAGGATTTGACTGTGTGCAGGGGAAAGGCTGTGTCTGCAGTTATTCAGGTTGATGCCCCTCCTAAAGTTCAAGCCCTATGAGGTGGGGTTTTACAGCCCCATTGTCCAGATGGAGAAGCTGGCGGATGGGCTGGACTGTGAGGACAGACCGGGGTCTCTCTCTGCTGGGGCAGAGCGGTGCTCAGTGGTGGCAGGCAATGCTGCTTGTGTATCTAAACCATGGGGTGGACAGTCTGGTGTAGACAGGACGGTCCAACACCACAGGAAGTGGCTCCATGTGGAGGCTCTGGAGCCCAGGCACCTTTGTTCTGACCTACCTACATGACGTTGGGCCACCTCACTAACGTCTCCATGCCTTGGTTTCCCCATCCAGCAGCTGGCCCCTGTGTAACACTCACTGGGTGCCAGGCATCATCAGAGGGTACCTGGCACACTGTTTGGGTCAGAGCAGCTTGTGTTGTACGGCATTAAACCCTCCCCGCCAACCCTATGAGGCAGATCCCAAAATCATCCCCGTTTTACAAACGACGGAACTGGGAAGGTTAGAAACTTGGCCAAATCCCCCAAGGAAGAGGGCTTGGGGTGGCCATCTCAGATGTGAGACAGGTGTGCTGGACGATGGACGAGCCAGGCTCAAACCCAGGTGGTGGGGAACAGCTGGCACTCCTGAAAACGTGTCCCTCCTTTGGGGAAGACTCGACAACATCCACCCACACCCCCTGGTGGTTCACCTGATACATCCCAGCCCCTTGGCCTTTGGCCGTTTCACTCCACCCCTACTCTATTCCCAGGTTTACTAGAGATAGGCACTCACCCATGGCTCACTTGGTATATCCCACACTCAGCCTCCCTGAGAGTCACCTGGCTTGACCCACAGATATTCCTCAGACAACCCCTCCAACATCCTGGCCTCTCATCTGAGCACCCCATTCTGACTACATCCTCCTGAGCTTCCTGCCATCTTCAGACCACACTCCTACTCTGTGGCCAAGGAGGGACCTCCAAGTCTTTGGCCCCTCATTCTGAACCCACTCCCAGGCTTCTGGGTCCCCTCTCTCCAGCTTATACCCAGTGGTCATCACTTTAGCCACTCCGAGCAATATCCCCAATTCCCTCCCTTTCTGTATGGTTTTATGTCACAGAGGAGCCCTCAGAGTCTTAAGTAAGCTAGAAGTTGATGTCTCCCATGTAAGTCGTGAAGTAGGCACCTAAGACTAGTGTGGCAGCTCCATTTTCTGGGGGATCCAACCCCCTTCCAGCTTTTTGCTCTATCATTCTATGGTATAGCCCTTATCCTCACGGTGCTGTATGACTGCTAGAGCTTCAGCCATCAAATTCAAGTTTCAGGCAGCAGGATAGAGGAAGGGGAAGAGATCAGTAAGGTAACACCATTTCTCCTTTAAGGCTACTTCCTTCGACTCATATATGACACTTCCACTTAGATTTTAATTATCAGAACTTGGCCATGTGACCACAACTAGCTATAAAGGGAAGTTGGGAAATGTAGTCTTCATGTGGAGGTGAGGTGGGGAGCCCCTTCCTAGCTGAAATGCAGTATTATGTTACTAAATATAAAATAAATATTTGGAGGCCACTGGCAATCCCTGTGTCTTAGTTTGCTAGGGCTGCTGTTAGAAAGTATCACAGTCTGGGTGGCTTAAAGGACTGAAATGTGTTTGTTCAGGATCCTGGAAGCTAGAAGTCCAAGATCAAGGTGTTAAGTGTCAGCAGGGTCAGTTCCTTCTGACGCCTCTCCTTGGCTTGTAGATGGTCATCTTCTCTTTCCCTGTGTCTTCACATGGTCTGCCCTGTGTGTGTGTCTGCGTCAGAATTTCCTCCTCTTACAAGGAAATCAGTCGTATTGGATTAGGGCCCACCCTAATAACCTCAGTTTAATTTAATTACCTGTTTAAGACTCTCCAGATAGAGACAGGTACTAGGGGTTAGGACTTCAATGTACTAATGTGGGGGAGAGACAATTCAGCCTATAACATCCTATTCCATTGCTGATTTCCAAAACCACCTCCACCCGTAAATCAAGCCAGCCATTCACCTCAGAAGCCACAACCCTTACAGTTTGGAGGCTGTCACGATGTTCAAAACTCAAACACCCGTAAGGGCAGAGAACGTTGAAAAAGGAATGCAACTGGAGTAGAAATGAATTGTTCTGGAGACCATGGGGCAGTGGCAGGTGTGTGTTCTGCCTAAAGAGGGTGGCTGCTGCTAAACTCCACCTAATGGCCTCATGGAAATATGGTCTCTGTTAAAGCTCTTCCAAATTTTGTAAAAGATGCCAAACATTTTATGTGACTTCCCAGAATTTTATCTGATGGCAACCAGTTCATTTAAAAAAACACTTTCCAGGCCAATTATAACACATCCAAGGTATGGACTGGGGCCATAGGCCACCTGTCGCAGTCTCCATTCCGGTTGGATCCCGGAATCCATCCTGTGTGTACTTACTGAGTGCATTCTAAGACTCAGGGCCCTTTCCTGGGCTCTGGGACACAGCAGTAAAGGAGGACATGTTTGTTTACCTAAGAGACACACTTAAATGATTGGCATATAAAATATATGTAATTGCAAACTGGTGATAGCTGTTAAACTACAGGAGACAAAAACAGGAACTGGATTAGATTAGCTATGTGGTCAGGGAAAACCTGTATGTAGGTGATACAAGATACCTGGTGGTGAAAGATGGGTAGGAGGAGGGGAAAAGATGTGCCAGACACAGAAACCAGCACGTGCAAAGGCCCTATATGCTAGAGAACGTGGCTCTTTTCCTATCAGGGAAAATGAAAGGTGGACAACCAGGGATGGGATAGAGTGGGTGGGAAACCCGGCCTGAGCATGCAGGGCCTAGTAGGCGTTTTAAGGAATTTGGTCTTCACCCTCCCCTCTCCCTGCAGCAAGCCAAGGATAGATAATGCAGAGGACAGTTCCATCATGCAGATAGTACAGAGGCAGGAAGGAGACTTCGGGGTTTGCTGGCCTCCTGGGTAGGCAGGTGGGAGGAGGTGAGAGGAGGGACTCTGGCCTGTACCAGAGACATGGGGCCGAGGAAGGGGCACAGACACGATGACAGCTAGGCCTGCTGAGCTCGGCGGCCTTGGGGAAGGGTCTTCACTACAAGGCATCCTTCCACTCTCCAGGGTCCTTTGAAGTTGCGTTCGCTGATGCCGCGGAGAAAATGAGGAGGGTCATTGTAAATCTTAAAGAAGGTAAAAATGGACTCCATCTCCCCCAGGCATACCCATTTAGGCAACCGCTTTCCTAAGACTGTAGTCTTCTCCCTTCAGCCCAGGTCCCTGTGATCTCTGAGCTCCTTACCCATCGCGGACCACGCTGGGTCTGCTCCCTGCCCCTTCGACGGAGGGCTTCCTCCTTGGGGTTGGGGATGAACCCCTTCGGGTGGGCTTGACCCAGATTAGTTCGGTTCTCTTCCTGGATCTGTGTACACATGCGCAGTTAAAGGGTTCCTTTTTCAACCGGGCCTCCTAAACTGGTTACTTCTAGCCTGACCACACCTCTAACTGGGCCCCCTAATTAGACCCGTCCCCTCCGAGGATCGCCCAGTGGGTGGAATACCCGGGCCTGGTCCCGCCTCCTTCGCACAAGCCGCGGGCGTGCTGCCCTCCGCCCACCTCCCTCCCCGGCACTGGCTGTAGATGGCGGGTGAAATGCTGCAGTCTCGGCTCCACCTACAGGTGGAATGCTGCAGCCTTGGCCCGCCCCATCGGTGGGCCGCGGAGGCCGTTTTCTTTGCTCTTGCGGGGATGCATCCGGCGCAGTAACATCCTCTTGGGGAGATTAGGGGAGCTTGAGTCGGGCACCTCCCGTGACCCTCGGATACTAACGCTTCCTCTCTCCGCAGCGCAGGCCTGCATCCCTCCCTGCGGTAAGCACTTCATTCTGAGCTCTCAATGGCGGGGAACGGGAAATGGTCGGGGCCAGAACCTGGAACTTGAAGTGGGGGAGCATGGGTGGGCCTCAGAGCCGAAGGAGGCCCGAAAGAGACTGGGCAAAATTAAGTAAACCAGGTATTGCTCACAAACCTCATATAAGGCGGGTCCGAAAGCCAAAGCAAGCCAATAGGAATCCTAGATGCCGGAGAGGTGAAAGCCAGCCAGTGAGTGCAGGGAAGGTGGGGCCCCGATTCTGGACAGAACCCTGGGAGGGGGCCGTGGCTGGGGGACGCACAGGTTGCCCAGACTAGTTCCCGCCCCGCAGGACTGCAGGAGGTCGCCCGGCGTTTCCACTGCCGCGGGTGCTACTCCAAGGTCTGTGACCTCCCGCTGGACTGCCCAGGTGAGAGGGGCCGCCCAGAGGGCGAGAAGGGGCGGGGCCACCCGGGGGCTGACGCGGACCCCCCTTCAGTTCAGGACGTGACGGTGACTCGGGGTCGTCAGGCTATGTTCTCTTGCACTGTGAACTTCCAGCTGCCCAAGGAGGAGATCACCTATTCCTGGAAGTTCGTGGGAGGTGTGAGTCCGGGCGGAGCCGCTGCCAAGGGCTGGAGGCGGGTTTTGCTTCCCAGGAGGATGAGGAGGCCGGACGCAGGGTGTGGGGCTTGGGGTCTTGCTCGAGGTTCAGGCTTCCTGCAAGGAGAGGGATCAAGGCTCCGAAGGCAGGACCGGGGCTTGGGCTGGCTTACCGCGTAAGGGTTTAGGGCGGGAGAGCGAGTGAAAGCCCCGGGGGGTGGAGCCAAGATGGGAGGCGGGGCTAGTGGAGTGTCTGCGAATACAGAGGGTGTGGCCAGGGCTCGGGGGCGTGGTCTGTGTCGGGGGTGGGGCCTGCGCGCCGCCGCTGGGCAAGTCTGGACTGTGAGAATGTGACCTGGGCTCGGGCGGGACCCCCTCGTCCCTCTGCTTCATGCCGATTGTTCCGCAGCTCCGCACTCAGGACCTGACCTACTTCCGAGAGATACCGCGGGCGCAAGGCAACCTGGCGCGGATCCGGCCGGCGCAGCCCAGGCACGGCGGAACCTTCTCTTGCGTGATCATGCACGACCAGCAGCCCCTGGCGCGGCTGTATTTCTTTCTTAACGGTGCGGGCGGGGCTGCACGGGGGCGAAGCTGCGCGGGGGCAGGGACACCTGCTGACGTGCGCGTCCCCGTAGTGACCGGCCCACCCCCACGCGGGGAGACCGAGCTCCAGGTCACCTTTCGGGATGTGCTGCGATGGTCGCCCCGTGAGGCGGAGATGATGGAACCCTGGAGGCCTAGTCTGGGCGAGCTGCTGGCCAGGCCCGAGGCCCTGACACCTAGCAACCAGGGCCTGCTCGCAGCTGTTGCGGCCATAGCATCAGCCAGTGTGACAATTCTGGCGTGGTGAGTCCCTGGGACCCTGGAGCCCCAGTGTCTGGCTCCCTCCTTGCTCAGACCCTGGGACCCTGGAGCCCCAGTGTCTGGCTCCCTCCTTGCTCAGACCCGGGAGTCTGAGCCCCCAGTCCCTCCTCAGTTATCTGAGCACCCCCGGCCCTCCTTTCTCAGACTCAGGAGTCTAGGTCCCCAGCCTCCAAGCCCACACACCTTTGGGACCCACGGGTCCGTGAGCCAGATTTCTGGCCCCAGCCTCTCCCACACGTACAAACACTGCTTTTGTTTCCCCAGGATGTTCTTTCGATGGTACTTCAGTGGCTACTAACAAAGGTATCTTTTTCTTCCTCACCCTATTTACATCCCTAAAATAAAGAACCTCTTTCAGCTCTGTGGATTGGTTCATTTTTGAAAGTGATCCCTGCTGATTCAGGAGAAGGGGCAGCATACCCCACTATGCTCAGGTGAATCTGCCCCCATGGTGACAGTAACATGTATTGCTGTCAGTGCAAGCCCAGACCCTCCACACACTCACACCCCCAATTTCTGGCAGTTCTCCTTAACCCTTACACCTGCAGAAGACACCCTCAATGGAGTCCTTGATGTCACCCTGAAAGCTTGCTCCTGCCCACGGAGGAGGAATTTCCTGCTGTCATAAGGGCACCACCATCCGCCCAGCTGCTCAGTCAGAAACCTAAGAGCCGTGTGAATTCCTCCTCTGCTTCCAATCTATTTCCTTTTTAACTCCTGAATAGCTCAAGAAGCTGCCCTCTCTTTATGCACCCAGCCACCACCATCTCTTGCCTGGATCACTGCAGCAGTGTCCGTACTGGCTTTTCATAGTTTTAATAATTTAAATATAAGTTGTCCCTCCTGTATGACAATAGAAGTCAGAGGTGTGTGTCTGGGTATCCTTAACGATGGATCGCCCCCTTTGTTTACTTACCTAGTTGCTCCTGGAAATCAGACAGCTGCCTCTTAGTAGTTTCTGTATTTGCAAACCTGTTAAAGTGTGTGAAATTCAGTAGGTACTTGGTAAATGTTTCTGTGACTTGAAGAGTGAATGAGAAAAGTGTAGACAGTTGGCACGTGGTAGTGGCTACGGTTGTGGACAGCACAGCTGCAGCATTTTTGGCCTGAGCAGCAGGAAGGATGGAGATTGCTGGAGATGCAGTTTTTGTGGGGATTAAGGAGGAGGAAGGGGAGGACAGATGCCAAAGTGGGTTTAGTTATTAGGTATCCAAGTGGGAATGTCTTGGAGGCAGTTGGGCATAATAAGTCTGGAATTTAGGGACAAAGTCCAATCTGAAGATAGAAGTTTCAGAGTCCCATCTCCAGGCTGGAGCACAAATGAGGCATTCAGAGCCGTAACACTGGATGAACAGAAGAAATCATTGTAGGTAAGAGAAGTGGATAAGAAGAGGTTTCTCTGAAGTTACGCAGTCAGCAACATTAAGAGGAACCAAGAAGGGAAACTGGGGAGCAAGGCGTCTGTGGTATTCTGAAAACAAATGAGAGAGGAGAGAGTGATAACTGTGTCCGATGTTGCCAAATCATGAAATAGGAGGCCCAAGAATCGGCCGCTGGCTTTAGTTTAGCACCATGGATATCATTGGTGAACTTGACAAGAGCAATTTCAATGGAGCCATGGGGGCAAGTACCTGCTTGGCAGGGGTTTAAGAGTCAATGGGAGTGAGCAGCATTACTCAGGGAAATGCAAATCAAAACCAAATGAGAAACCACTTCACACCCACTAAGATACCTGTAATAAAGTGAGGTAATAACAAATGTTGGCAAGGATGTGGACAAATCGGAACCCTCATACTTTGCTGGTGGGAATGTAAAATCGGTGCAGACACTGGAAAACTGGCAATTCCTCATTAAAGTAACGAGTTAACAATATGATCCAGCAATTCCTTTCCTAGAGGATTCCATTCAGGAGAATTAAACCTATGTCCACACAAAAACTTGAACGTGAAAGCTCACAGCATTATTCACAATAGCCAAAAATTGGAAACATCCCAAATGTACATCAACTGGTAAATGGATGAAATGTGACCCATCCCTGCAATGGAATATTATTTGCTGATACAAAGGAATGAATCAGTGATACGTGCAACACCAAGGATAAATCTTGAAAACACCCTGAACCAAAGAAGCCAATCACAAAAGAGCACATCACATGATTCCATTTGTAAGAATTGTCCAGAACAGGTTAAACCTATAGGGACAGGAAGTAGGGTGCTTTGGGGGGTGATGGTGGGAGTACGTAGAGGGGTGAGGAGTGACTGCCAGGAGCTAACCGGGTTCCTCTGCATGATGAAAATGTCCTAAAATTAGATCATGGTGATGGCTGCACAAATCTATAACCTTACTAAAGACCATTAAAATACATGCTTTAAGTGGGTGAACTTTGTGGGAGGGAAATTGGAGACAAATACAACTCACAAGGAGTTTTGCTATAGAAGTGGGCCAGTAGCTCAAGGGGAAACAGGTCAAGACAGGTGTCTTAAAAATCAGAGAGGAAAGGGACTGAGGAAGGTGGGTGGGAAGGGAGGGATAAGGGGATTAACGGACATGACGATTAGCACACATAATGTGGGGGGGCACTGATGGACAGTGACTGCAATGGGGTGGGGGGGGCTCGATAATAAGGGTAATTGTAGTAACCACATTGTTTTTCTTGTGAAACCTTCATAAGAGTGTATATCAATGATAGTTTAATAAAAAATAATAAATTTCAGCAAAAGAATAATAATGTAAGGGGGCACGGGGAAGGCGGTATAGAACAGAGAAGACAAGTAGTGACTATAGCATCTTACTACGCTGGTAGACAGTGACTGTAATGGGGTCTGTGGGGGGGACTTGATAGTGGGAATCTAGTAACCACAACGTTCATGTGGCTTCACGTTAATGATACCATAATAAAAAAAAAATCCGAGAGTGAGTGACAGCTCCTTTGGATGTCGGTGGGACAAACCCCAGAGAGAGGAAAAAACTGGAGAGCAGGTGAGAAGCAGGGTGCAGAGAGCTGAGGTGAGGTCTAGTGCCCAGGTATTGGCCTGGGGGTGGGGGCAGGCTGCAGGGCAGTTCATCTTCAGGAATGGGGGAGGTGGCCTACACAGATGGCAGGAGTGGGGAGATGTGGAGGCGGGGACTCTGAAAGTTCTTGTCACCTGTTCTCCCAGTGAGATAGGAAGCACGCGAAAGGTGAGGTGCTGGGGTTTGGGAAGAGAAGGGTGAGTCAGCTTTCTTAGTGCAGGAGTGGAAGGAACACAGCGCCTGACGGGGTGGGCGAGTAGCAGGCACTCCCGAAGGATCGGTGAGGTTGAGCAAGCTCACCCTTGCAACAACCCTGACCCGTGGGAGTCACGGCCTTATTTTCCCAAGAGGGAACCGAGCCTCTGAGGAAGGAGGCCGTCCTGTCTGGGCTCAAACAGCTGGCACCCAAGACTGAGCCCCAAATCCCCAATTCTCAACCACACAGCCCCCTCCATTCTCAAAAAAGGGGGAAGCTCAAAAGAAAATAAATAAAATTGTTTATTACATCCTAATCACACAGTACAAATGGAGATTAAATAAGAACAGGGAGAAAAATGGGACCCAAGGCAGCATGTGGGCACCGTTGTCCCCTTGCCCCTAAAAATCTACACCCTGATCAATAAATACCCCTCCCCAGAGACCCCGAAGTCCCGGCCCCAAAGCAGTCCAGGCTGAAGAATCTTGGGTCAACCCCCTCACCTCTCGGAGGCGGGAAACTGAGGCCCAGGGAATCACGCAGCAAGTTCGTGCCTCCCCTGAGCTCCCCTGGGCGGGCACTCCGCGTGCCTGACTCACACCTGCACGCGGTAGCCCCCTGCCCGCCGCCGGCAGAGCCTCCGCACGCCCACCCAGTAGAGCGTCAGCATGACGGCCCAGTACCCCACGTAGGCGCCGGCCCCCGCGGCCAGGTGGCAGGCCTCGGCGGCCCGGGAAGGGCCGCTCCAGTCGGCCCGGGCCTCGTGCACCACGCTGCGGACCAGGCCCCCGAGCAGCAGCAGCGCCCAGAGCGCCAGCGGCAGCACCGGGACGTAGTTGGCGGCCAACTTCCGCCGGCCCGACGTGCCCCAGCCGCTCTGGTTCATGGTGGCCAGCGCCAGGAACTTGGCGGGCAGCAGGCCGCACATGTAGAGGGGCGCGTAGAGCGAGAGCAGCACCATGCGCAGGCAGCCGCGCAGCCAGGCCGCGAAGGCCGCCTTGGCCAGCGCCACGCCCTGCACGCACAGCAGCACCCATAGCAGCGCCCACGGGCGCCCCGCGTAGAACAGCCGCAGCACCGTGGCCGCCACGAAGAACGGGAAGAGGCCCGAGACCACCGCCTCGTAGGTCATCCACGCGTGGTGCCGGTGCCACCACAGCGCGTTGTACAGCCACTCGCGGAAGTACGACTTGGACCAGCGAGTCTGCTGGCTGAGCCAGCGCAGGAAGGACGAGGGCGTCTCCGAGTAGCAGCGGGACCGGGAGGTGTACCTGGACCGGGGAGGAGACAGGGCGTCGGCTCGGCTCTCCCTGGGCCCAGGTCTGGCAGGAATCCCGGGCCAGAAATGCCCACGGCTGGTGGCCACTGGGGGAGCTTGCCTAACATCTGGGCCTCGGTGCGGCATATGTGAAATGGGACGAGAGCCGTTGCTACCTAGCAGGGCTACCGTGAGGACTGGACGCCCATTAAATGCTAAGTGCTTAGGGCGCGGACATTGTACTTGCTCAATAAATGCAAGTTGCCGCTGCTACCTTTAATATGACTAATATCACTGTTGCCATTACTAACATCATTATGGTTACTGACACGATTACTAAACTATCACTAACCTATTACTAATACTCTTGAGCTTGCTATTATGGGCGGGTGTCATGGTGAGGAGCAAGCCTGGCTGGGTTCCCACCTGGGGTAGCCCGAGTGTTAGAGCTCAAGGGAACCATCCGCCTCCTTCCGGTGGCGGTGGCAGACATCACTAATCAATCCCTACCCGGTTCCAGCCAAGCCCACACAAGGCCAGGATCCCTCCCATGGGCAGTCAGCAGGTGGTCACCTGCTGCCGTTTGTTAGGAGGGCTCAAGCTATCCTGTCCCCACGAGTATTACCTGACCGTGTCCAGTCGCCTTCCTCTGTGTCACTTGCCACCCTGCAGGGCCTCCTTGCTTCTACCCTTGCCTCCTGCAGGCTGCTCTCTACAGCTGCCACCAGGGTCCGTTCCAACAGGTCACCCCTTCCCGCAGCCCCTCCATGGCGCCCTCATCTTAGTTCAAAGCTCTCACCTGGCCCACAGACCTTCTGAGGGTACCCCACTGACTCCCCATCCTCCTCTCCTGACCACCCCCCTTGCTGTTGCTCCAGCTGCTCCATCTCAGCCTCCATCCCTACCTTTCCTCCACACCCTATTTAGCATTTTTCTGCCTACTCTGGAACTTCCTGTCCCCTTATTGGCTTTATCTCCAAAGCGTGGATTATTATCTAACATACAATAAATTCTACTTATTTATCTTGCTTATTGTCTATCTCCCCAACCAATGCAAGCATGAATTTGTGTCTCTCCTGTTGACTGGCGCATCCCCAGAGCTGAAAGCACCTAATGAGCATCTGCCGAGTGAGGGATGCATGGGTTCCCTTGGTGCGCCTCAAGTTCTCTCTGGCCCTTTCACAGGGTCTGGCTTTGTCGAAATTACTTCCTCCTGAACTTCACCCAGTGAAGCCCAAATCTCACCGCACTGCACGCCTTCTGCGTGTAGCACTTGCTAGAACGCAGGTGCCCCCTCCTGTCTCACGCTTCCTCTTCACAGTCGCTCACTAGTCGGATTCCACTCCAGCCGTCTCTTTCCCTTCCACCTCCCTTGGAGTCACCTGTGCTCTCCGTGGCAGAGCCATCTCCCCATCGCACGCTGTATCTTTTAGGTGGAATTTGCCACCTCACTTTGACTCAGTCGGTGGAGTCCACTGGATTAGGCGATTCCATGTAAATGCTGTCCCTGCCCTTCAGGGTGTCTCCATTCTCCCCTAACGTCTCACGTAGGGCCCGTTGTCCTGCCAGTTACTTGGGGTTTGGAGAATTCCCAACACACACACACACACACGCTCACTGGGATACTCATTGCCCCACCCCTGTGCAGCCACACCCGGTCCCCTCAGCTCACTTGGTGGCGTAGCCCATGCTCAGCATGCGGTTGGTGAGGTGCCGGTCATCCCCAAAGGTGCAGTGGGTGCCCAGGAACTTCTGGTTGTACCAGGCCTCAAGGAACTGCTGCAGGAGATTGTTCCTGTACAGGCCTGGTGGGGGCAGCGAGTACAGGAGCATCAGTCCTCTGCCGTCACCAACACCTTCCCCAGTCTCATCTCCAGCCTCCAGCCCCACCCTCAGGCAGCTCAATCCCAGGCTCAGCCCCATCTCCAGCAACAGCAGCCCAATCCTGCTCTCACCACCAAATCCATCCTCAACCCCAGATCCATCCCAGACTTACTCCAATCCTGTCCCCAACCCCCCCACACACACTCTGACAGCAAACAACCCCAACCACGTCCTCAGCCCCATGTCCATTTCCAGCCCCAGCCCCAGCCCCATCTGCAACCGCACCCCTGACCTTGACTCTGACCTCATCCCATCCCCTTCTCCAGCCCCTGTTCCCCATCCACACCAGTTCTCCAATCCCATTCCCAACACCTCCAACTTCCAATATTACCCCTCCCCCTAATTCCTGCCCCAGCCCCATCTTTGTCCCTAGTCTCAATCAAATCCTCACCCTTTCTGGCTGCCCTGTCCCTCCCCACCCCATCTGTGGCCCTCCGAGCCCTGTTGCTGCTCACCCAGAGGACCACTGATGCAGGACACACAGTGAAAGTAGCTCTGACAAGCCCGCTCCACATTGAAGGCCACCCAGTACCGCAGGCTGCTTAGGAAGCTGACCCAGGAGTCCAGAGGGTTAAGGATCCGCACGTCCCCACCAACAGCTCCTACCCGGGGGTCCTCGTCCAGCACCCGTGCCAGCTCCAGAAGCGCCATGGGGTCCAGCCTTGTGTCTGAGTCACAGACCTGTGGGGTGAAAGGGGCCAGGATGAGGCCGGAGCCCTGCGCAGTGCCGGTGCTTGAGAGGATGGCACCAAGCGGTGGGGAGCCCCTGGACACTCTGAAGACAATCTGAACATTCCTCTGAATTCTTTAGTCATTTTCAATGCCTAATCACATTTTAAGATGACCCCCCCTCCCAAGCCAAGACCCATGACCCATGCCCTTGTATAATACCCTCTGCTGGTGTGTGGGTGACACCTGTGACTTGCTTCTAACTGACAAATTATGGCAAAAATAATGGGATATAATGACATGATTTTACCTCAAATAGAAATGGTGAGTTTTGCAATGTACTTAAGATCCCTAATCTGTTGTGATTTCCTTGGGTGGGCCTGATCTAAGCAGGTGAACCCCTTATAAGCCGGTTTAGAAGTCAAAGACTTGAGCTCTTGCTGGC